CTTGGTGGAATAAATCATGTACAAAGTATAGAAAGTTCGAACATAATTGATCATTTTGTTCAAGAAGTAACAGGTGAAAAAAGATTGTCATTTTTTCAACGAAAATTGCCTCTACATTGTAATTTGACACCCGTTCATGTCATCATGACATTAGAGTAATATGCACCACTAGGGATGAGGGTCGATATATGTCAAAAGGTACAAGTTCATACCAGATACCGTTTAGGAGAAAACCTGAGGTGAATTATTGTCCAGAAAAAAAGAAAGAAAGAAAGAAGATTTATCAGAACAATAAACAGTGGTCGGGTTGTGCACGGCCACTCAATTAAGTCATCTTTTTTTTCTTGCCACTATGACTGAACTCGGGGCATATATATACAACCATGGAGCTATAACATGAAACGGATACAGGTCAACTTGTACGCGGACAAACTCGTTCACGGTCCAACTCCTACACGGGCCAACTCATACGCATGAGTATAGACTAGCGTAGTACACGTTCCTTGTGATGTACTGAAACTTTTGTTTCGGGTCACATGGATAGAGGGGAAAAATTCTGCCAACCGGACACCACTTACCTGCCGCCAAACATCCAAATGTTCACCTTACCTTGTGATTTCAACCAAGAGGAATCCAGGAAAGAGTGGACATGCGAAACGAAATTGTTAAAAATGTGTTTTTGGAGCACATTTTGCATGCACATGTAGTGCAGATCTGAGTTGAAGCAGCCGGTCAAAACTGATTGAAGTGTCTGGAACAGCGGTACATTATACGCATGACATCGATAACCATGACGTCGCATGAGACGTCGCATGAGCCGGCCAATGATAGTGCAATACGTCATTATGAACATTTATTTTCTCATGAATATTTAGTTTATTTCAATGGATACTTCAAATACTTCCAAAGATTGATCATTGCAACAGCGATCGTGCGCGGCCTAGCGGTTAAGAGACTCGTGTATCAAGCAAGCGTCCGAGGTTCGAATCTCGATGAAGTGAGCGACTGATTGATAAATAGAAATTAAGGAAAGGAGGGAGTGAGAGTAGAGGAGGGAAAGTGGAGGGAATAACCATAAAAGAGGTAACTTTTGGCGCTAGAAAATTAATTGAAAAAAGTGGTGTCCGGTTGGCAGAATTTTTCCATACAATGCGTTGGTAGATAAAAGCCATTTTTGAATGATCGCTGTATGAAGTCTGTTCAATAGTGGTTGAATTTCACGGATTTTTAACCCAAAAAATATTTGTGAGTATGATTGAAGCCCCATTACTTCGTCTTTGATATGTGGAAATGCCAGTAGGTGCTTTCAAAGGTATTTATGTCAAGTATTTTGCGTGATTTTTGTGGTGAACTTTGAAATTGTCACTTTGACAATATTTCCGTTGTGGGATGCTTGTACGACAGACCAACTCCCAAATGTCAAAAAAGGAGTTCTACGCTCCAGTTAGTGGGACTAGGTTTAGAGTATAAAATAAACCAAGGTTTCACTCACCTATATATGGTGTTATTCACAAGTAGACTGCAAATTTATCTCAAGTCAAGCAGCAATCCTCCAAATTGTCACAAAAGTCTAAACTCAATCCTTGCACTGGCAGTTCATTTAAATTCAACTTCATGACGGCAAGCACCTCGTCATGGGGCAACGAAGTTCGAGTGACCAGTCAAATCTCAGTTCATTGGTTTTCCCGTGCTGCCGTGCATCACTTGATATGCTGAAGTGCGGTCTCAGCAGGCTCGTCGTGCAGACCCCGCTGGGCCTGTCCCGGGAGGAATCCGTTCCGATTCGGTGGGGAGGCCTGTCTGTTCCCGGAGTCAATTCGAGATTTGTGAGCTTTATGTTGTAGCTCAACTTAAACGAATTCCACTCGCCAAGTTGGGGAATCCCAAGTTGGTGCAGAAGACTCTCCAAGCACTCAGTAAGTTGTTGACAAACCTGTAAACGTGTAGCTGGCTGCATAGAAGCAGAAGTAGAAGTAAATAAATCCTCGGCGCGAAGGAGGTACAAAAACAGAAAACAGACCAGATTGTGTGGGCGAACGGTACAAGAAGTCCCAGCCTAGCCAGAGTACGGCGGCGTGTTTACAGGTACGTCATGGTAGTCTGGTTCCAAGACCAAAAGATTCTGACTATTTCTCACGAGTTCTATTCCTGATTACTTGTTGATCGAAATATTTACACGACTTGTATTGCATTTGTACTTTTGTACGTCGCCTGAGACGTCGACTCAATTTAAGAGCGCCCCCTGTTGAGCACTTCGGCATAAATTTGTTGGTATAACGCGCGCGCCACGTGTATATTAAGTAATTTTAAATTACAGGCAACAACGCCCCCATTCCCTTGATTGGATTTTGGTTTCGGATATAGCGCCCTCTAACGATCTTATGCGGTGGACAACAAAAAAGCAATTTAGTGCCCTCTATCTATTCTGCAGAATGAACTTTGAAGTGAATATTTAATAATTACAAAGATCATGGAACAAAACAAACATTGTGAACTGATTAAAAGTTAATTGGATGATATTTTTTGGTGGAGTTCAAAGACTCCGTTTATTCCAATTCATCTTTGCATATCACAACAAAGAACAGATAACAAACAAACATAATTAACATAATTAACAAAATCAAGCAAAAAACCCCAACATCAAACACACAATTAACAGCTAATGGAAAAGAAAAAGAAAACAATTAATATACCAACAGGCCTATAAACCTCATAAAACTGGAAACATATCAACAGAAAACGTTAAGGCATAACATTAATACGTAAACAAAATTGAAAACAAAAAACAAAAATTATTTAGCAAATAGAAACATCAAAAGACAATAGACACAGATAAACATGCAAAAACTACATCTAGGTATGTCACCTTTTTCTGTGGTCGATCCCTATATGTTTGTGTTCCATAAAAAAGTCACATTTTGTGCCTTTTAAAGATCACCTTTGACCTCATTCACATCCAGCAAGCATTGGAGCTATTTCTGGTATAGCAGCTGCATTGTAGCCATAGACACGCCAAGTTTATAATAAACTTATGACGACTAGAATTAAGCCTAAGGGCCAAATCATCCTGATATTTCATTGACATTTTCAGATATTTCTTGAGAAAGGTAAACGATGATTATGAACATTTCGCCCTATAATACCAACATGTTCTTATCCAGAATGGCTTAAAAAAGCACTTTAACAAAAATAAATAATGAACATTTATAAAGGGCCAAAATCCGCCTAAAAAAAACTTACAGCGCATCACAAAATTAAAAAATAAACCATTATTATAATAATTAAGAAACAAAATTGTACTTAACGTAACAAGGTGTGAAAATATCAATACAAAGAATTAAGATGTCAAAAGATAAAAATAGTAAACAAAAATGCTGAATGAACACACAACTCACTAAATGCAACAAAACATGAAAAATGCACTAGAACGAAATCAACATACACCCCCCCTTTAAAATAGAAAAAACCTGCACTTTTTACAAAAACGGAATCATATAGAAAAAAATATAAAGCATCCAAACTAAAAACACTCATTATATACACACACAAACATGATACAAACACGCATGCAAATTACCAATAAAAACCCATAGAGACCTTGAACGAAAGAATTGATGATATAACAGAAACAATCAAATGTTTGTGTGATCCCATGCCAATGACAAATCCAATACAATTTGGAAGGAACCCTGTCCCATTCTATTGAAGCTACAGGTTGATCTGTAATGATAACATATCGTTTCATACAAAAGGAAAAATGATCACTGCATTCTGAAAGAACAGGTATTATAATGTGCTTTACAACAGACCAAAAGTATCTGACTGGACCACACAGAATGTGCATGAATGTATATTTTAGTATGTGATCACATCGTGCCATATTATGAGCATAAATTTCGTCAGGTGCCTGGAAGAAGGTCGTAATTGGGCCAAGTTGGTCAAAAGATCAAATTCCGTTTTTTTGGGTAATCGACAAAGCTTGGAAATATCTTTCATTTGATATACATATTGTCTCAAGGGCCTACGTCATTCTGATGTAATTAACAGTAAACAAACGACGGAAGGAGGTTTTCATTATATGTGCCCAACAAAAGGTCGTAAGCGTGTGATAATAATGTAACAAAAAGAGTTCCAAGTACGCTAACGTCTCACTTAAATGGATACGCAAAGCCAAGTTTGTTCCCAGCAAAAGGACCTTAGGATTCCACATGCCGCATAAGCACAAGTTTGATGCAGGACGAGTTCACATTTAGGGCAGATGGAGTTCCCGGTAACAGGTCGTAAGCAGAAACATTTGAATAACTTCAAAATTAAGTAATATTTTGAAATATAAATGCACAATATGATTTTAATTATTAACAACTTCAATGGGCCCAAATTTCAGCCTGATGTGATTTTTCATTCAGAAATTGGAGCACAAAACCTTTCAACTCGATTATCTCCAAAAGTGCATTTTGTAGGCCTGGGCTGCTTACGTCATTTTCCTTGGCACACAACGATTTCAAGATGGCAGCAGCCCATGCAGGGGGTCATAGCCTGGTCAACTTATTCCACTTCTCCAAATCACTACCTCCAGCTTGGGGTGGGGGAAACTCAAACGAGACCGGATTCAAAGGCGGGGACCAATCGAGCGAGGTCTTGTAGACTGGATTGAAATAGTTGATGGTGGACTTTGCCGTGGCCCTGCCCCAAGCCCCTTACACAGCAGTGCCAACAATTGTCATCACTGACACTGATGGTGGACTCTACTGTGGCCCCGCTTACAGCAGCGTACCAATTGTCGTCACTGATGTTGCGGGGCTGATCCTGGGAGCACTGGTTCTGGGGCGGGGAGGGGGGAGGGGGGGGGGATAGTCATCTGGTAGGAAAACTGGCTCCTTGTCCTCTTACCCTTGACCTTTCTGATGACCAGAGTGATGAGGATGACGACAATAATGAGGAGGACTAAGCAGCGGTAACGGCAATCACTGTGATCATCAGTCCATTTGCCAGGCCTAAAATAATAACATATTTTATAAATTATATTTTCAGCTTTGCATTTTATACCTTGACAATGCGTTGCTGAAGTTTTCATGGTCTTTAGAGCCATCAGATACAGAATTCCAACACTGTATTGCTGCATTGCTGAGGAAGTGTCCAATTCTTGGTTTTTTTTTTAATAATGTTGCACGGATTCCAAACGACCCAGGAATTAGTGCTGCATTCCCCACATAAGTTCACGCACGTCAGTGAAATATGACATCCATGGGAGGGTCACATGTGCACCCAGATGCATAAATGTCAGGTGAATATGAATATTCATATCCTCCTGATTCACAGCCAATCAGAGTGCTCCATTCAATTTTGGTAGCACGTCCATGCCTTGTGTACAATGGGGTTGCAGATTATTCAAGTTTGTAATTGGAATCAACGTACACACATATGAGGTCAAGGATGCAGGAATCGTTCCTGCGTGTTATTATACCACGCACTTCACATAACCCCAGGACATTATGTGGTAGTCAACGCCGGGACGTTATGAGGTAGTCAACGCCGCTGGTACAGAACGGTATGCCATGGTGCAGGCAAACCAAACCCGGCCAATTAACGACTTGATTCAAGTCTAGGCTATGAGATTGGCCCACATCCTGAGTGAGTTCTGTAGCTGCATATGGTTCCTTCAATGCTTGAAAGCTCCAAGTCAAAGCGCATGTGTTGCATCCAGGCCATGGCTTCCTGAAATGTTAAGAAAGAAAAAAATCCATAAAAGATCAACTTCTCGGATAAAGCAACTGTCGCAATCAAACCACCATACTAGCTGCAGCACGCAGACAACTTGTGGCAATTCTTGAAAGGACATTTGTGATGAAATTAGTTCATGAACACATTTTGTGCAACTTTCTACTCCTCTTCAATGAATTATCTATTTTGCATCCCTTTTTAATGAAAGATGCACTTCTTATAGGCATTTCACAAAATTCCTTGCTCATTGAAATATTTGTGGGAAAGGTTTGTTCATTGGCTTACTACCATGTACTGACACAACAAATCACCAAAGAAATCACCAAAGAAATGAACATTTACGCTAGCAAACTTTCCAAATTCTAGCAACTTTTTGTGCTGAAATAGATGTAACATTGAGATCTTCGCCCAGAATGAATCATCACAGTTTTGCTAATGAATACAGAAATTTGCATTAGCATAAAAGCAAAAATCACCGAAATACCCTTGGAAATATCCTGGCATAATGAAAAAGGAAAAAGGTTAAATGGGACATAAAGGTGCATTTTCAATGATTGCACTAAAAAAAATACACTGAATGGGCCCTTATTATTAAGAAATTATTTGCAAAGGATTATGTGCATTGTACTACTACCCCCACAATGATTACACTCATGCTATAAGCCAAGCAGCCAAATGAATCTTATGGACATTCAAATGAAAAGGAATAAGCATGCTCTGTGTGAGGACCAGTGCGTAAATTACATACCGTGTGAGGACTGCAAGACTATGTATTGAAGTCCTCAATCTGTTGTTGAGAACAGTACTCGCATGTACATGTATGTTTGTGTGCTTCGTCTATGGGGGAATTAAAGGTAGAGTAGATCATTTGCAGCTATCCAAAGAGTAACTGACAAAATTATTGAGGAAAGCTTACTTGCTTTAAATATAGTAATGGCAATAAACTCCCTGTGAAAATATTATTTCTGGTGTCCTGTCATTTTCAGAAAAAAAAGTGAAGGAAGGCAATTTCCAAAGATACATCCAGTGAGTAGTAAGGTTTGTTATTTGAAGAATCTGTGAATGGGTGCGTGCAAGCACTGACATGACGCACAAGCACACACCGTTGCTGCAATGGGCTGAATGAGAACATGTCCCGGATGCTGATTTTGGGCGCAATTCAACATGTGACTCTGCAACTTTTGATTTGAAATCGAGATCCCAGTATATTGGTTCCTTGGAATGTACAGCAATTACTGAGCTAAAATGTTTTCAGGTTAGCTGTTAAACATCCGTCGGCAGATTTTGAGCCCTTTGTTGCTTCAAGCAAAAAAAATGCCTGAATGACAGAACCTTTCTTACTCTTATGACTCTACGCCCCGCCCTTTTTGAGTACATACAGATTTCAAATAGACTGACACCACATATTGATGTTGTGTTACCTGTTCATCAGTCTGTGATGTGTAGAGGTGGGCGTGGCTCTCCCCCATCTCAGCATTCATCTCAGCAATGGACCAATCAGCCTATGGAGGGCACAAAATATAAATGAATATTCAAAAATAGTGCCGAATGAACTGAACTGGGATGCAATAAAAGAGAAAGCCTTAAAAATGTGAGTTTTGGAAATTTTGTAACAAAGCACTGCTGAAGCTGAATCACTGAAAGAAATAACAAGTTTTGTTATGATGAATATAATTTAAATGAACTACACTGTATGCAAGCATTGTGCTGTTGATTGCTATACATGCATGTAAAAGACCAACTTCACACGAGCTAAAATGCAGATAAATAAAAAGAAAGTGAAGGAAAATAAAACCCACAACAAAACAAAACTACGATCCAAAACCAATTACTGTCGGTTCATTTTTTAACTCTTTTTATTTGTTTATATTTGTCTACACAACAGACTTGAGTATCCATGGGCGTCAATTGGTGGGGGATGGGGGACAAGTCCCCCTTCCCACTTTTTAAAGTCGGGGGATATCATATCGTTTGTGTCCCTACCCCCACTTTATTCGTCCCAGAATTAAAATTGTTGCCAACATAATGATCCTATAGCTCAAAATAGCTGATGACTTCAAACTCAAAAATAATGTTTAAAAGATGATTATTTTGCTCTTCAAAAATTTGTTGAAGTGGTCAGAAATTGCCTCAGATCACACCACAGAGCGTCTAGACTGCAACATTTCCCGGGGCCCTTAAGCGAGCCCTAGACTCCATGCTGTTAGGGCTTTGCGCTCGCATTAACTCTGTTCAAGATATGCCCCCCCCCCCCCCGACCTTTGAGAAGCCATTGACGCCCTTGTGAATATCCTGACTGGAAACATATCAAAGGATATTAAAACAGGTGTCATCTGCAATAAGAGTCAGCTAGAATAACTGCATCAGGTAATTGACCCTGTGGCTTCTTTATGTTTACCTTTCTGATACACCTGTCTGTCATATTGCCAGCCCAGGACCTTTGGATCCATTAGATATAAAACACAGTCAGCATGCTGCATTTGATTTCACTATGAGCACGTACCAAAGCTCAACATAAGTGGAATCTGGGGACTGCAAATATTACCAGATCAGAACCTTTGGATCCATTTGAGATAAAACACTGCATTTGATTTTACTATGAGCACGTACCACAGTGCTACGTTATCGGAATTTGGGTACTGGTACTGCAAATATTACCGGCCCAACACCTTTGGATCCATTTGATATAAAACACTGTATTTGATTTTACTTTGAGCACGTACCAAAGCGCTACATAAGTGGAACCAGGGACTGCCAATGAGTGTACTCAAAATCAGGTGACATGGGCTGTGTTGATACAGAGGGGCGTATACATAGATCGCCATCTTTGTTCATTTCAACCATTGCCGTAAGTGACATCAGAATGGGCAGATATCAATGGCTCATTTCATGTGTACCTGAAGGTAAGATTTTTATTTAGTGGGTCTACCTGTAAGGATACATCTGATATAAATCCACAGCAACACATTATCTCATATGAAGTACATGTATGTAAACTCAGTATTTGCCAATTACAAGTGTATACGTATTTACTGGAAATTCAGGTGGATCCGTCAAACCTGTTAGAATACAGACATGTGGAATACATGAATCTCCTTATATTCATGACAGAAATAAGTGAAGCGCATTGTTTGTACTTACATGTAGTCTCTTACAAAATAAGTGTTAGACCTTTAAGAAGATTCGGCACAAGTGTAGCTTAGTAAATCACAAAATAATAATAAAACAACAAAAAATAAACCCGATTTGAAGGTAAGCCTTTTTTTTTTTTAAATTAGTGCACTTTTCTTGCAGAAAAGTGGACTTTTTTGACAAGTCTACAATTGAAATATGGGCCAGTTAAAGAACTTGAAATATGGTGTGTTTTTTCGGTGCAGACAATATTTGGCTGCAGTCTTCTGCCCACCCCGATTCAAACCACCCAGCTGACCAGGCAAGCTCAGAGGTGGAGTGATAAGACGTCTGCACTAAACAGGAGGTACTGGGTTCGAGTCCCACCTGAGTATTAAACAGTAAGACTGGCCTATTTTAAAAACAAGTGCCCTTTTGTTAAACCAGAGTGTCCTTTTTGTTACCAGCAGCCTTTTACGAGTGCCTAGCTGTTTGGAATTTCATGCAGCTGTCAGCAATTGTGCTACCCAAAAAAGTGCCACATATTGTCCATGATTGCACAAAATTTTTAGTACAAAATATGTTCTTACATTAAAAAGGTAACCCTATTACACATAGGTATAGCCAACAAGGGGGAGGGAGATTAGTTAGGGTGTTATTAATTCCCCCCCCCCAAAAAAAATTCGTATTGACTGCCTTTTCCATTGAAATGCCCTTTTTTTTTTACCAGCGCTTACCCCCCCCCCCCAATATTTGTGAAGAGTGCCCTTATTCTTATTAATAAGTGCCCTTTTGACAAAAAGTAATGTGTTTTGTGTGTCAGCGGCCTTTACGAGTGCCTTTTATCTTTTTTACTTTAGCACATGTATTGCCCTAAAAAGTGCTATATGTTGTCCGAGTGTGCAAACTCTTTGGTTTTGAACAGCGCCCACATCATAAGATGATACCAGCCCCCCCCCCCCCCCCCCACTATGTGTAGGAGAAAAAAGTACCCTTTTCAAAAAATTTTTAACCCCCCCCCAAAAAAAATCAAAATGACCTTGCTATGCCCCTGTTACACATTTTGTTGTAACTAATTGCTATTGTCTTCTGGAAAAAAATATAACTAGCATCAAGTTTGAATCAAGCATGTAATAAACCTTCAATTTTATGAATACTCTACTTGACAAAAAAATTTCAACTTTGCATCTTACTTACATGTATTTCAACCAAATTATCATCTGAAGTTCAAATATATGTAATTACAAACATTTTACTTAATGTGCTTCATTTGTAGATTAAAGGTCTCTCCTTTCACATCAAGCACAACAGTGAAGATGGCATCTAATGTTACCGTCAAATCAGTGTTGGAGAAGATTAGTGTGGATCATCTGGAATGCTCCATCTGCACCAACCGTTTCAGGCAGCCCAAACTGCTGGACTGTTTGCATAGTTTTTGCCTGCAATGCCTCCAAGAGCTCAGACAGAGCCAAGATCCTAGTGGCACAAAGCTGACATGTCCTCTCTGCAGAAGTGAAACCATGTTGAAAGGGTCTGGGGTTGCTGATCTCCCTAATAACTTTGCATTCAGTGCCCTGGTGGAGGAAGTTACAATGCAGGAAAAGCTACTGGAAGGTCAAGGGTCAGAGATTAAATGTCAAGCCTGTGATGAGAAGAATCAGGCTATTTCAAGATGCATGGACTGTGATCATTTCCTGTGTCAAGAATGTCAAAAGGCACATGGACGTATGACTTTGATGAAATCTCACAAAATCTACACACTGGCTCAACTTCAATCAGGACAAATTGTTTATAAGAGTAAACTAAGAGATGAAGTTCCCAAATGTGGCAAGCATCCAGATCAGAATCTCAATGTGTACTGCAACTCATGTGAGCAAGTCATATGTACAACTTGCTCTGTACTTGATCATGCCAAACACTCACTCACTGGATTACCTGAGGCTGCAGAGAAATGTAAGAAGAAGGTCACAGAAATGGTCCAAAAAAGTGAGAGCACAAAAACTGAATTGATCACCACTATCAAGGAGATGTCTAAATCTCGCAAGGATTTGGACAACATGTTTGCCAACACTCACAAGAAAATCTCAGAAAAGGCTCAACAGGAGATTACAAAGATCCAAGAGGAGGTTGCAAAGATCCAAAAGGAAGAACAGAAATTAAAGCAAGAGACGGACAGGATTTATAAGGACAGAGTCAGAACATTTGAAGCTGCTCAAGCTAACAACAGGAAAGAGGTGACACAGACAGAGCACAAGCTGGAGGAGGTGAAACAACTCATGAATCAAGCAAGTTGCTATGAGATTCTTGAACTTGAGCAGAAGCTCTTGCATAACCTCAGTGAACTGACAGGGAAACAGCCACAGCAAGTTCCTGACAAGTTGAGCTTCATGGACTTTGAAGAAGGTAAGAGGTCACTTGGGAGACTCATTCTGGAGGAAGAGACAAAGGCTGCAGAAAAGCAATCACCAAGACCTGCAAGATCATGTGTGAAAAAGAAATGGGAACTGAAGACTGAATTCAAGAACTTTGAATTAGGAAATAACACGCTACGACATGTGTCAGCACTCTCTGACAATAACATAGTATTAACCACTTGGATTAATGCATTATTCACGGTATCACTGACCAATAGTCAACATACACCACATCCTATCCCACAAAGGCTTCAAATCAATGGCCTCACTGATTTAAGGTGTATTGCAGTGAGCATGGATGACAAGCTCCTTGCTCTAGATGGTCGAGTAGTCAAGGTCTTCAACAAGCAACATCAGCTCCTCCATCAGTTCACACCAGGTAGAGGGTACAGCCAACCAACATGCCTTGCAGTGGATGACAGCAATCTGATAGCAGTGGGTTATACAGGCAAGAAGGAGATATCTCTACACAACCCAGATGGATCCCTCATCAGGAGACTGCCTGCTCCAAAGATTGAGGATTATCTAACAATGTACAATCACCGCATAATCTACACAACAGACGTGACCAAAAGGTTGGTATGTGTAGACTACTATGGTGCCAGTGTATTCTCAGTTGACATGTCCAGCAACATGCAGGGGGGTTGGGGCCCTACTGGTGTGTGCTGTGACAGTGATGGCAGCATCTATGTTGCTGTGTTCGGACTTCCCACAGGTGATATTCTGCATTACAGTCCTGATGGCAAGTACATTGGATGTGTGATCAAGGAATGTGATTATCCACGGGGCATCGCATTCACATCGGATGGTGATCTGGTAGTGGCTGTAGGACAGTCTGTAAAGGTCTATCACCGAGTGTAAGGACAGAATTAATTAAACTGGGGCTATCCAGCGTATCCACCAAACACTTCCATCAGACATCGAACATTGTTTTGAAAAAGAACATTAAAGTTCATTCCCTCAATACAACATTCGATAATACTGTATGTTTGGTTTATTTCTAAGGTCTTTGGTGTTTGTATACATGACTCTTAGACTTTAAGCCTACTTCCTATAAAATGCTAGATCTGGTGGTCCAATAATGAGAGCAAAGGAATGACCCTTCACATTGTTTGCAAATAACGCAGTGTACATTTTGAAAGTATTATCAATGAGGGGGAAGGTATTACCACGAAAGGCAATTTAGTTCAATTTTCTCCGATTTGTCTCAGCGAATACAAAGTCAATGCATGATGTGTATTCCAAGTATAAGATATAACCCTACTCCTGTATAAAATGTAAATATTTCCTTAAATTTTGTCATTCGATTTTTCAATTATTGGGAAAATTGTTGAGTTTAAATTAATGCAACTTATTTTTGAATGAAAAAGATTTTGCACCTCCATGTACTCAAAAGCAACTGGATGAAATACGTGTGATTTTGAACTCAAGCGATAGTTTAAAAGTAAATCATATGCAATCCCTTGGTTGTCTCTTTCACAGTGCTTTCAGAGTGCCTCATCAAATTAATATTAGTTTCATTACATTTACAACCAAGTTGAAATGAAAACCTTGTGTATTCTACTGCAATGATACATGGATGTTTGTAAATGAAGTAAGTATGATGGATGTACATTTGTAAAGTTAAATCTTGGTTGTTGTTTTTTCTTAAATGTAATTTTTTTTTAATTCTACAATTCAAGATGCATTTGGAACATTCTATAACTTTGGGGTCCACTTTTTCCTGTCCCTGTGCATCTGACATCTACGATTTTGTAATAGAAGATGCACTCCTTTGTGTGTGTACTCTTCCTCCAAGAATGCTTCTGTGCATCAAATGACCTACCCAACAAATATTAATTAGTTTGAAGTCATTTTTAATTGCAGTGAATGGCAAATGATAAATTTCGGATGTGCAGGGACAGGAAAAATGTCCGACTTTGGACCCTAAATGTGAAGAATGACCTACTTGTGAGAGGTTCCATATCATTACAATAATAGTTTAGTTTATTCCATAAATGAATGAGGCTTTTGCTTCTTCGACTAAACATTGGTTTGTTACATGCTGATAGACCAAGTAGTCTAAATGAAGCAATGAGCATTTGCTTTAATTACAGAATATCTCACCAAGGGAACGCAGCTTACATGACAACAATGGCATTTCGGCAAAGATCCAATGTCTGTTATTTTACCAATCAGCATCTGGAACTTTCTAAAGATACCAGCGGCATAACTAGGGTTAGAATAGAAGGTTCTTGTAACTAAAGTGATAATTTTATTTTTCATGGGCTTTTGATTTTTCAAAGACTTTAGAAAAGTAGTTTCTATTGAAAAGGTGGATACAATGAAAATGGAATGTTATCGGCGTTTCCTTGTGTGGAAAAGGTCAAGACACACTCAGATTTACAGTAGTTTAGGGGAAACACTGGAGCATTGGAAACATCTCAACAGTAAACTGTTTATATTGTGTATGTTTGGCCCAATAGATTATAGCGGGCAGCTATTGAAAACATACATTTGTACATGTACAAACTCAACTACCCAGAATGTAATCAAGTTGTGCGGTTCTTCTAATACGTTGTAGATTAAATGAGATTAAAAACAATGTTAATTTGTAAAATAAATTTATTTATGTACAAGTTAAAGGCAGCTTGCATAAACGAAGGTAATTTTTTTTCATATTTCAGGTTTGATTCTACATGTTTTGGAAAATAGGCAAACGGATTTGCAATTGTTTTCGTTAATTGAACATGTAAACATCACATCCTTAGCATCACGTAACATATCGTTACAGCCCATGTGACACAGCCTAATTTGCTAATATAATTCACAACGTTAAAGCATTTTAGATGTCGTGTCTAGGTTTTACTAGATGTACATGACAACGGGTTTAAGAACCAGTATAGAAGGCGCCTGCTGAATGGTCTCGAGGTCAATTAGACGCAGTCTTGTTTTGCAGAATAATCGACGAATCTCTCGGATATCATAGATCCTCGCTGTACAAGGGGATATTACATAGACTACCTTAGCACCCATCCCCCTACAATTGAGAACAATTCACAATGCAGTGGGTGTGTGCCAACAAGCGTTTGCCTCAAGAGGCCAAAAGTATAGTAATTTCTACAAATGAACTTACCTGTACATGGAAGTGCATTGGGGAATCTGTTCTTGTTTTTGCAGACAGGTTTCATGGCTTCCTCACAGTTGACTGCCACTGACATTTCATATAGCACCTACATTTCAAAGTGAACAAATTGACAGACAACACTCATTACATTGCTTGTTCTCTCTCCAGCTCAGACTTCAATTACGAATCAAGTTATCTTTGGCTGACTTAATAGTTTGCATATTCATTCTTCAGCAAGCGCATGAACAACATAGCCATACACCAGTATGGCAGAAATATAGAACCGAGTCTGTGACTCTGACTTGAGTTTGACTTGCACTGCAAATTCTCAGCCTTAACTTCAAGTTACAATGGATGATGACTCAAACTCTGCTCTCATGACTCAACTCATGACTGAGACTTGACATCGGGGACATGTCACTGGTGAGTCACATTTCACTGACTCAACGAAACATGTTTGGCAAAACTGTCTGGTAATAAATTAAGCTATTGCTGATGGAGTGCAAAATTTGGTTTGTTGTTGGTAACAATTGGTTGAAATAAATCCCTTGTATTCTCAGGGGTTTTCCTTAACTTTTTCCTTTACTGGCCGGCCGGGCCAGTAAACCAGAGTTTTCACTGGCCCGCAACCTTTTTCACTAGCCCACATGTTTTAATAGTAACTTTCAATCAAATCACCATAAGCATTTTTGATAACATTTTTGATAATAAACATGATAAATTATGCAATACGAATACAATCGGCAATTATCTGAATCATGTACATAATATTGCATGTAGTTCCTTTTTAAGTGATGTCAATGTTTATTTAATCGTTCATGCTTTAACATAGAGCAAGGCTTTAATTAACAGGAATCAAATAGGGGGAGAAGTTATAATCAAAATTTATGCAGTGTGCTTCGTTCCGAACTAAAGGCTTTAGGTGTTCTATTTCCGACATGTTTTGATAAAACACGAACTAAAAAAGCGTTATCTTGAGGAACAAGAAAACATTGCACACAGTCGTGGTATTAATGGGAGTTTACCAAGTTAGTAACTGAACTGTGTTAACTTGTTTGAAAATGAGTGAGAAGGCCAGTATTTTCAAAAAAACATCTCTCGCGCGCGCCATGCATTTCTAGCGAAGAATGATGCAATCAGCGTGCCTAGCCAAGAAGCGCTGCGGGCGGGCGACCCACGAACTTACGCTGGTCACGTCAATCCATAACGTTTTCCGGAGCACGGTCCACTTTACATTCACTAGTCTTTACATTCAAAATAGGCCCCTCGAATCTCATATCGTCCTCATCTTTTCGGTACATTCGTTTGATAGTGTTCAAGAAATCATCCCAAGAATCCGTTCGGGCACAAGTTTTGGCAGTGAAACTGTCATGAAAGTTTTCTCCTCACCACGTTGTATGATAAGAATACAATGTTAACGTACGTACGTACGTCCGTACCGTGTGGACTAGTAGTGCAGCAGACGAAGTAAATCACGTGCGCTGCATGTGTGCACAATGTGTAATGGCAAATACAAGTTGATTCGCCTCATGTTCGTCGTTGGGATTTCAATGCACAGCGCACTGCGAATATACATGGAGTGATACGAATTCGAACTACCGATGTTTTTATTTCGGTCGGCGTGGCAAAAGTATTCATGTGTTGTATCACCCTTAACTTTTTATTTTGATTGATTGAAAAATACTGTAGGGAAAACTTCGTTATTTTAATTTTTTTTAAACAGTTTTTTGACTCGCCCGTCGGACTACTGAGAGGAGGGTTTTGACTCGCCCGCCGCTGTTTTCACTCGCATTTGGCGAGCGGGCGACCGCTAAGGAAAATCCCTGGTACTCTGCTTTGCAGATACAAAAAAGGAAGACCTGATAACCTCACTTGAAGTTCTATAGACTACAGACATTCATGAAATTTTTTGAGACTTTTTAAAGTTGTGAGTTCTTGAAATATTCACTGAACCAAAGTTTTACCCCAAAGTCACCTTGAATTCCTCCACAGGGTCTTGCTTGTCTATCTGTTTTTGCAGTGTGGTAATGGTGTTCGGTCGACTGACCCAATAAGCACCAACCTTGGCCGGTCTGGTGAGCGTCATGTGTCACATCTCGGCGTTGCTGACCACGCGGTCTTGGTCCTTCTAGAGGGGATGTTGGTGTCGGAACCCCAGGAGCTGGAATTATCGTTATCGCTTTCAGGGACATGGGCCTGGCCTGGGGGGAAGGATAAAACATCACATTTTACTAATATAATACTGTAATAATGGTCATGCATGTTTATTTTTGTAAGCATTTTTTGCAGAGCTTTTATGCAGTGTTCACATGTTTTAACATTTAGCCAACATTATACAAAGGCTGCTGCTGACAATGCCAAGGACTCATTTTATAATTTATTATCTTCCGCATTGGTATCGCCTTGTCATTCCTCAGCAGAGTTGTAATGAGTCACTGTTTTGTGTGACCCAAGTTGAGTCGAATTATTTCATGGAAGTGACTCAAGTTGAGTCAAGTCATTTTAAAGAAGTGACTCAAGTCGAGTCAAGTCATTAGGTCAAGAAGGTTTGAGTCGAGTTGAGTACGTCAAATATTTAGCTGGAGTCAATGCGAGTCACGAATAATTGTGCACTATATAACAACTAAAGACAAGAGAGAAAGTCACTGGTTTCATTAACAGTTTAAAGGAGTGAAACCTTGTTTGACTTCAGGTCTAGAAAAGTTTCCGAATGTGACACAGAAAACTAACAAGTAGATTGTCTTAAATTTCACAATCTCAATGAAAGAACAAAAATAGCTGTTTCAGCAAGTTGCCAAAACAGCCAACAGTTTAGGAGTCATCCAATTTAGAAACTATCCAAACATTCCACTATATACAGTATGCTGCATGAGATGCACAAAGCAATGGAAGTAAGGGCAACACTTCTAATTGATGAGCTCAAAGTCTTCTAACCTGCAGTCCATCCAGCTTGCCCACCCAGCTGGTCTTCTTAGTCAGGTACCCTTCCCTCCAGGCTGGTTAGTGGGAACACTGTATGATCTGGGCACTAGACGCGCAGACGATGACATAGCCTGATGCTTCGCAGCCTTTCGGCATGACTTGGCTGTTCTCCAGCTCAACTGATCACTTCCAAAGCAAGACAGAGAAAATGTATTTTTGAAATGGAATTAGCATTGGGGAAATAAAAATTTGTTACATCTTAGAGTACCACCACTTTTTTTATTTCCCTGCAATGTACATGAAGCCTTAAAGGGAATATACAAGACTTGCAAACATCACAAACCCAAAACTACCAAATTATTATGAAAATTATACCTTACTGAATTGTCATTTTCAAGAAGTGGTATTTTTTTTATCAATTTCCAACACCGGTCGGCCGACCAGCTGTAGGAAAAAATGGCATTTTTTTAAAATACTGCCCCCAAGTTACCAATGAGAACTTTTGATTTTTAACACGAGCCACATTGTTTAGGCCTGCACGCTGAATGGCACTGTTTACCTGTGACTTGTTGTAGGTGTCATAGAGTCCCAGCACCGCATCTCTGTTGAACCTTGTCCATGAGACACGGATCTCATGCACCACCAGCTTGTGAATGAAATCCTAAAACAACAGAGCAATATTAAAAAAATTAAAGAAACACAAGTTATTAATGTAGTGGTCGGCCCTGCTGTCTTATTCAGAGGGGGGAGACTCGTCCACCAGTTAAGGAGGATGGGAGGCAATCACCAAGCGTGGACAATCATCATCGGTTTCTGTCATTAGTTGATTGGTTGATTTATTGATGATCCAGTTGAGATACAATATTTCAATGGAATATAAAAACCCTGTACAATGAAATAGAAAAGCAGACGCTGTGTATTAAAGTTTGCATGTCACAGCGTACACACTATACGTACAATACACGTACATGTACCTTCAGTTTGTTTACAATTTCGGTACAAAATGTGTCGAAAGAAATGCCTTAAATTCTCACCCCGACGTCTTCAAATCTTTCCCTTAAATGACTCCAAAAGCAGCTATACAGCACTTCACTTCAGTTGGTGGGCTGTTCAGATATGGGCCTTCAGATTTTAGCTCGCAAAAGATGGTTTTTGATGTGAATTTGGCTCACATCATGCAACGGCATGGTCCGAAGAAAAAGGAACAGGACGTGCCAATCCTGCACGTAGGCCACTTACTCCCGGAAAAGCCCGAAGAAGTCCGAAGCACAAAAACCCAGATTTACTTTAGTAAAATATCATATTTCAGGAGTGATCTAATATTATGAGAAAACTATAAATGTATTTTGCCAACTTATACATGCCCAATAAAATAGTAAGAATAAAGTTTGAGAAATTATAAGAACGTTTTTGTTGTAACTATGTAGTTGCCGAACGCACTTAGCAACCACGAGTCAGTGACGTCATCATGCTTATGGCGCGTACGTAACTTCTTAAAGGGGAATTCCCAGATCCCTACATTAACAAAGCTGTTTGCAGTTTGTTGCAAGTTTTGTAGAATGAAACTATTCATTTTGTAGTTGTTTTATTTTGCAACAAGTGGATTTGTATTTTCTGCTATTTCATTTTATACTCTGATAGCAGGAGGTCATGGGTTCGAATCCAACGTGAGTAAACATGTGAATTTTTTCCAAAGCACTCTCAGATAGCACAGTACTCATGAAATATAACATTATTATGAAGTATAGTTGTGCCAGATAATGTTCCGGTAGAATTCTTGAAATGCTTCACATTGACTATGAATTTTTTTTTTTCCAGAAATATCACAAATCAAGGGAAACTCCCTTGGTCAATTCATTGTTTAGATTTTGGAGAGAAAAAAATGGAGGATGAAAAGAAAATGGGAACAAGTTCTTTTAAAAGCAAGTAATGTTTGGAAGTTCCACGAGTGCAAATTCACTCCAAGATATTAATCATTGATTATATCTCATCATGTGCTATTAGTTTGTGTTATTTCTATTCTGCAACCATGCCCTCTTTCAGATAAGATCAGATTAGTTCTGACCAAGATTCGATGGGTCATATTTATAAGCCCAAGGCTTCAACTCGACCCTCAATTACAAGCAAGATTACAAGCAAGATCACATGTCCTTTTATTAGTAAATCACACGTCCCTTTACAAGTTCAGTCACAGGTAACAGGGGTTGAACAAGGAATGGCAACACACTGTAAACACATTGCAATACCACACATGTGTACATGATATGTATGTCTACTTTGAACTTACAATTCATACAATCATGTATCAAGCTATAGCATGGCGATGATGATTTATATTTCTGGCCTGTGAAGGGACGGAATGCCTGAGTTTGTTTTTCCAAAATAAGAAAAAAGCCTGACTTCAGGCTATATCCTGAAAACTTGCATCACTGCCCTGCACCCGATTTCACGAAGCGCAACTCGAGTTACGACGTGTAACATGTCGCAACTCGCGATGCATCGTATCATCCATTTCACGAAAGTTGCGATGTGTTGAACGCTTCGTAAGTTCCTTGACAATGGCTTAAAACACGTCGCAAGTTACAACATGTCTAGTTGTCATCGCAAAATAAGAAGAGTCCCTTTCTTAGCCATTTTCATGCCATAAATATTACAAAAACGACATTATAATACCGAGGCAATATGTGTAAAGTTGTAAATAGAACATTCATTGAATATTTATGAATTACACTAGAATATTGCAGTTGAAATTTCAAAGTAGCTGAGCTATACAGTATACTGAGAGTTTGTTTTCCTTCAAAATTGCATTGCACGATCGCCATTATGTTTTACATTTTAACAAATTTTGAGCTGAGATCTGACGACTCTTTGTTGAATATCAGACGTCTATTTACTGTACGCCGACTTAATACATAAAACAGTGACCGAGTTGTACTATAAATAAACCTACACGCTTCGCACTAACGACGTGTTTTGTGAAATGGATTGCAGGACGCGTCGCAGCTGCGATGCATCATAAGGATACGACGCGTAGCAGCGCTGCGATGCTTCGTTACTTATGAAGAGTTTTATGAAATCGGGTGCTGGCCTTCTTGAGCAACCATATACAGATTTCAAATAGACTGACACCACATATTGATGTTGTGTTACCTGTTTATCAGTCTGTGATGTGTAGAGGTGGGCGTGGCTTGATCTCTCTAATCTCAGCATTCATCTCAGCAATGGACCAATCAGCCTACGGAAGGCACAAAATATGAATGAATATTTAAATTTAGTTCTGCATGAACTTAATAATTGGGATGCATGTAGCTTACTGATAAAAGAGAAAGCATTAAAAATGTGAGTTTTGGACATTTTGTAATGAAGCACTGATGCTGAATCACTGAAAGAAATAACAACTTTAGTTATGATGAATATAACTTAGATAAACTATCCAAGCGCAGTGCCATTGAGTGTAATGTAAAACACCAATTGCACACTTGCTAAAATGTGGACAAATATAAAAATAGTAAACAAAAAACAACCCACAAAGCAAAACTAGATTCCAAAACTATTTACTGTCGGTTCATTTCATGTAGCTCTTTCTTATTAGTTTACTTTTGTCTTTACTACAGACTTGAGTTTCCTGAATTGCGACATATCAAAAGATATCTACAACAAATGTCATTTGCCATGAAATTCAGCTTGACCCTAGTGGCTTCTTTCTGTTTACTATTCTGATAAACCTGTCTGGCAAATTGTTAATATTAACAGCCTATAGACCTTTGGATCTGTTTGATGTAGAAAACAGTTGCATGCTGTGTTTGATTTTACTCGTACAGCACGTACCACAGCGCTACATAAGTGGACTCCAGGGACTGCAAATGACTGAACTCAACATCATGTGACATGGTCTGTGTTGATACAGAGGGGCGTATATGTACAGTAGATCGCCATCTTTGTTCATTTCAACCATTGCCGTAGGTAAGATTTTTAATGGGTCTACCTGTAAGTCTATTTGTTACAAATCAGCAGCATCACATTATCTCGTATGAAGTACATCTATGTACATGCAAACTCAGTATTTGTACATATTTACTGGAAATTCAGGTGGATCCGTCAAATTTGTTGTGGAATACATAGGCCTAAAGCCTTCTTGAATTCACGACAGAAATAAGTGATGCGCATTGCTTGTTCAAGTTTACATGTAGTCTTACAAAACAAGTGTTAGACCTTTAAGAAGATTCGGCACAGGTATAGCTTAGGCCAAACAAAAAAAATGGTGTGTTTACGGTAACCCGACGGACCTGGAATTTTTTCAGCCAAATTGCCAACCTCAAACTTTTTATTGCCATTTTGAAGGTTGATATTGATCATTTTAAATAAACAAATTTCAAACATTTCAAGTACTTTTAATTATTTGCCACGAACATAAACCATTTTCCACACTTGGAAATGACCATGATTTGACACAAACATACCTGTGTTAAACGTGCGAAAATCGCGACGATCTCAAAACTTGAATTCTCAAACTACATGAAGTACGATTACTTTTGCACAAACGCATCGGGGTGAACTGGTACGCCTAGCCGATGGCCGGCAAGGTTCTCCCCACGTACGTTCAAACGTGCGTACTGCGAATCGGCCCGATGAAATTACAGTCACATTTTTCAGCCCCCGATACACACAATACAATTATTATACACGCCATTAAAATGCACAATATAATCTATAATATAAGTATGCCGTTGTTTCATCTTTACATGCAAATCTTGACAAAAATCCTTTTTTTCTGATGCATGTTTGATCAAAATGCACACGATGACGGGTTCTGTCGACCACCAGCTGACAGGCATGCAGCGCATACAGCATGGTACACTGGTTCCCTTTGCGTGCTAACAGAATCAATGCTATGATGAAGGACCGGAACCAGTGACTACTGCCTATACAAAAGTCGTACCGATACCAAGCATGATGATGAAGTGCCATCGGCTGAAGTTGGATCGTAAAAATACCAAACAAACATCGATGGAGAAAGAGAATTTCTGCAAATTAATTCTCAGAACGTGATCTTTATTTTCTGTGTATGTGTGTTCCAATAAAATGACGACACTGCAAAGCTTGAACTTGTGACGTAACATCATAGCGTGTTTCTGCAGTAGTGCAAGATTTTGGCCACGTGGGATGGGCCGTACACAGAGCAGTAATGCACACTGATAGTAATACTACGCTGTGAGCACGGGGTGATGTACGGCCGGCCAGACTGAAAGTCGGCGGCGCCAGCGGCCGTGATTAAGCGTGGAATCACCCACCTCAAAACATTTTTAATTATTTGAGGCAAGTTTTAATCACTTTTAATGGCCGGTCTTGATCATTCTCGTGGTGCAAATGAAAATAATCCAGGCACAAAATAAATATGATACCTTGCTCTATACTAATATTATTATGATGCTCCATTAATCAGCACCCCAAAAAAATTGGCCAAATAAGTTTTCCGACCTATTGATGCTATTTTGAAAGGCATGTAATCGGAAGCAAAAGGATTTTTTTTCTTCACCTTAATTTCTTAATTTGAAACTTACTTGTAAATGTAATCTATACTTTTCTAGTTCACGGGAAGCTTTAACACAGTTTGGGAAATGTTGATTTTTTATTAAAGTTAACAATTTTGATTTTTTTTCTTTAATTACAAAAATAGGGGCCTACAAGATCTCTCAAAAATGTTCGAGCCCTTTAAAAACAGGCCCCGAACCCCACGCCATGCCTTCGCAGGTTGTTGAACCACAGCAAAACTTCCCCCACAGGTTTGAAAAAATCCTGGGGTGAAGCTTGGGATGGTACGAATTAATCTGGAATGAAATGTATCGATTAAATATCTTGAATGCTTGAATAATGTTTTTATAGAAATATTTTCGGAAAGAATACGCATGAGCATGCAGAACTGAAATTAAAAAAAATTAGAAAATAAAATTATTTCTCTACCTACCTACCTGGATTTTTTTCAGACCGTTACCATAAACACACCATTTTTTTTGTTTGGCCTTAGTGAATCACAAAATAATAATACTAAAACAGCAAAAAGGTAAAACTGGTGTGAAGACAAGTCTTTTTTTTATGAAATTAGGGCACTTTTCCTAAATAAAAGTGTTTTTTTTGGGACGAGTCTATGCATTAAAATATTCGCCAGTTAAAGTACTTAAATATGTTTTTTTCTTTGGTGCAGACAATAATTGGTTGCAGACTCCTGCTCACCTCGACTCAAACCACCCAGATGACCCAGTCAAGCTCAAAGGTGGAGTGATAAGACTGCCCTTTTGTAAACAAGTGCCCTTTTTACACCAGTGCTTACCCCCCCCCCACAATATTTGTAAAGAGTGCCCTTTTTAAAAAACAAGTGCCTTTTTGTTACCAGCGGCCTTTTATGAGTGCCCTTTTTGGAATTTCGTGCGACTATCGCCAATTGTTCCACCCTGAAAAGTGCCACATATTGTCTATGATCATGCGGTTTGAAAAGCACCCTTTACCTTAATTTTCTATTTTATGGAGGTCATTTTTACGGAGGGATGTGGGACTGCTATTTTTACAAACTTTTTACACTGAGTACACAGTGTTTAGGGCAAAACCCAGTGTTAGAAATAAATTTCAATTTTGTTGTGAACTGTTTCATTCAGACCTGTAGCCATGTCCTCATCAAGTCAATGAAAAGTAATTCTTTGTCGGGTTAACTCACAAACTATTTATCAAACAAACTGTACTTGCCACCAACTTTTGTTTTGACTGGTTATGAACTTTATTACAACTTACATTAGGTGCAGAAAATGTCCCAGATAACAGCTGAAAGGAATTCTTTAATGTTACATTTTCAGGACAAAGTATGCTCTTTCATAAACATGGCCACCCTATTATACAAATGGCTATTTTCTTTTGGACAAAATTAACTACATGTAACATCAGGTTTGAATCAAGCATATAGTATGTGAATAAACCTTCAAGTTTATGAATACTCTACTTGAAAAAAATGTTTTAAACTTTACATGTAGCTTATTTCAACCAAATGATCATTTGAAGTTGAAATACAAGTAATTCCAAAACCTTTTACTTAATGTGCTTCATTTGTAGGTTAAAGGTCGTTCCTATCGTACCAAGTCCAACGGTGAAGATGGCATCTAATGTTACAGCTCAATCAGTGTTGGAAAAGATTAGTGTGGATCATCTGGAATGCTCCATCTGCACCAACCGTTTCAGGCAGCCCAAACTGCTGGACTGTTTGCATAGTTTTTGCCTGCAATGCCTCCAAAAGCTCAGACAGAGCCAAGATCCTAGTGGTACAAAACTGACATGTCCTCTGTGCAGATGTGAAACCATGTTGAAAGGGTCTGGGGTTGCTGACCTCCCTAATAACTTTGCATTCAGTGCCCTGGTGGAGGAAGTTACAATGCAGGAAAAGCTACTGGAAGGTCAAGGGTCAGAGATCAAATGTCAAAACTGTGATGAGGGGAATCAGGCTATTTCAAGATGCACGGACTGTGATCATTTCTTATGTCATGAATGTCAAAAGGCACATGGACGTATGACTTTGATGAAATCTCACAAAATCTACACACTGGCTCAACTTCAATCAGGACAAATTGTTTATAAGAGTAAACTAAGAGATGAAGTTCCCAAATGTGGCAAGCATCCAGATCAGAATCTCAATGTGTACTGCAACTCATGTGAGCAAGTCATATGCACAACTTGCTCTGTACTTGATCATGCCAAACACTCACTCACTGGATTACCTGAGGCTGCAGAGAAATGTAAGAAGAAGGTCACAGAAATGGTCCAAAAAAGTGAGAGCACAAAAACTGAATTGATCACCACTATCAAGGAGATGTCTAAATCTCGCAAGGATTTGGACAACATGTTTGCCAACACTCACAAGAAAATCTCAGAAAAAGCTCACCAGGAGATTACAAAGATCCAAGAGGAGGTTGCAAAGATCCAAAAGGAAGAACAGAAATTAAAGCGAGAGACGGACAGGATTTATAAGGACAGAGTCAGAACATTTGAAGCTGCTCAAGCTAACAACAGGAAAGAGGTGACACAGACAGAGCACAAGCTGGAGGAGGTGAAACAACTCATGAATCAAGCAAGTTGCTATGAGATTCTTGAACTTGAGCAGAAGCTCTTGCATAACCTCAGTGAACTGACAGGGAAACAGCCACAGCAAGTTCCTGACAAGTTGAGCTTCATGGACTTTGAAGAAGGTAAGAGGTCACTTGGGAGACTCATTCTGGAGGAAGAGACAAAGGCTGCAGAAAAGCAATCACCAAGACCTGCAAGATCATGTGTGAAAAAGAAATGGGAACTGAAGACTGAATTCAAGAACTTTGAATTAGGAAATAACATGTTACGACATGTGTCAGCACTCTCTGACAATAACATAGTATTAACCACTTGGATTAATGTATTATTCACAGTATCACTGACCAATAGTCAACATACACCACATCCTATCCCACAAAGGCTTAAAATCAATGGCCTCACTGATTTAAGGTGTATTGCAGTGAGCATGGATGACAAGCTCCTTGCTCTAGATGGTCGAGTAGTCAAGGTCTTCAACAAGCAACATCAGCTCCTCCATCAGTTCACACCAGGTGGAGGGTACATCCAACCAACATGCCTTGCAGTGGATGACAGCAATCTGATAGCAGTGGGTTATGATGGCAAGAATGAGATATCTCTACACAACCCAGATGGATCCCTCATCAGGAGACTGCCTGCTCCAAAGATTGAGGATCATCTAACAATGTACAATCACTGCCTTATCTACACAACAGGATTAAATGAAAGATTGGTATGTGTAGACTACTATGGTGCCAGTGTATTCTCAGTTGACATGACCAGCAACATGCAGAGGGATGGGTTGTCCTCTGGTGTGTGCTGTGACAGTGATGGCAGCATCTATGTTGCTGTGTATGGACATCCAACAGGTGATATTCTGCAGTACAGTCCTGATGGCAAGTACATTGGATGTGTGATCAAGGGATGTGGTGCTCCACGTGGCATCACATTCACATCAGGTGGTGATCTGGTAGTGGCTGCAGGAGAGTCCGTACAGATCTATCACCGAGTGTAAGGACAGATTAATTAAGCTGGGGCTATCCAGTGTATCCACCAACCACTTCCATCGGACATTGATCATTGTTATCACTGACAAAGAACTTTAAAGTTCATTCCCTTAAACAACTTTCTACAATACTGTATATTTGGTTTATTGCTAAGGTCTTTGGTCTCTGTATGTGTTGACTCTAATACCTCAACCACTTCCCCTTTGGAAAATCTTGGACTTCAACACCCAGCCTACTTCCTATAAAGTCCTAGATCTGGTGGCCCAATAATGAGAGCAAAGGAATGCCCCTTCACATTGTTTGCAAATAGGGCAGAGTGTACATTTAAAAAATATTACCAACGGGAGTGAAAGTATTACCAAGAGATGGCAGATCAATTTCAATTCGTCTCAGCAAATGCAAAGTCAATGCATGATTTTTTTTTTCTAAGTGTAAGCTATAACCCTACTCCTGTATAAAATGTAAATATTTCCTTGAAATTTGTTATTCAATTTTTCAATTATTGGAAAAATTGTTGAGATTAAATGAATGAAACTTATTTTGGAATGAGAAAAACTTTGCACTTACATGTACATGAGACAAAGGTAAATACTCAAAATCAACCGGATATAATATGTGTGATTTTGAACTAAAGCGATAGTTTACAAGTAAATCATATGCAATCCCTTGGTTGTCTCTTTCACAGTGCTTTCTGAGTGCCTCATCAAATTAATATTAGTTTCATTACATTAACAACCAAGTTGAAAATGAAAACCTTGTGCATTCTACTGCAATGATACATGGATGTTTGCAAATGTGGTTGGTATGATGGATGTACATTTGTAAATTGAAATCTTGTTTGTATGCCTTTTTTAAATGGCGTTTTTAAATACTATAATAGAAAATGCATTGGAACATTCTATGAATTTGGGGTTCACTTTTTCCTGTCCCTTTATGTCTGGCATCTACGATTTTGAAATAGAAAATGCACTCCCTTATGTGTGTACTATTCGTCCAAGAATGCTTCTGTGAATCAAATGACCTACCCAACAAATATTAATTAGTTTGAAGTCATTTTTAATGCCACCTGAATGGCAAATGATAAATTTCAGAGGTTACAGGGACAGGAAAAATGTCAGACTTTGGACCCTAAATGTATAGAATGACCTACTTTTGAGAGGTTTCGTATCATTACAATAATAGTTTAGTTTATTCCATAAATGATTGAGGCTTTTGCTTCTTTGAATAAGTATTGGTTTGCTAAATGCTGATAGACCAAGTAGTCTAAATGAAGCAATGAGCATTTGCTTTAATTACAGAATATCTCTCCAAGAGAACGCAGCTTCCATGACAACAATGGCATTTCAGCAAAGAACCAAAGTCTGTTATTTTACCAATCAGCATCTCACATACGTTTCAGCTGCATTTTCTACTGATGGGCATGTTACAACTCTGCTCCTAGGGTTTGTTTGCATACATAATGAGGGCTGCCTATTTTACACCGATGATGCGACTCAAAAAGATATCTTTGTATTTTATCATTTATAGACCACTTAATTTGGAAGCCGTTGTTATTGTATCACTAGTTAGTTTATTCACTGTATATTTTGTCGAAATTTTTAAAAACGTTTTCTGAGAACATAGCTCAACAGTGATTTCATGAAACAACCATCTTTTCTCAGATGTTGTTTGCTAACATTTAGGGCCATTTTGTCTTCGACAAAAACATAATTTCAGAGGTTTCCCCAACATTTATACTTGTACATATTGGTAGAGAGGATTATCAAGTAATCAGATTTGTGAACAAATTTTCGCTTGATGTCTTTTATCTCTTGATTGGCCGCATTTGAATATCAAAATTGTCTAAATGCTCTCAAATATTGAGCATGTAACTACGTTCTTAGAAAACTAGTCAGGTTTGTTGATGTCTGGTACCACGTATCGCGAGCAAAAAATAAACATTGAAACAATACTGTTTTGTCAGCTTTTAAAAGTGTTCATTGTTATCTAAACAAAAAAATGTAGCCAAAAGAAATCTATTGCATGTTAAAGATTGCCTCGTGGCTTTACGTTAAGTATTTTATTGCCCTGCGAAAAATTCAAATGTCATGAACTTGAGCCAAACTCAGAATTTTGTGATACCTTAGCAACTGCTTGTGACAAGGGAAAAACCACCACTTGGAATTTTTTACCCAAAATGAATTGCTAACAATAGCATTTTTAGGGCATGCTTTATACAACCAAAATGTTTAAAGTAAATAATTCTTTACATTACACATGTAAAACAGTTAACAAGACACCTGACATCTAACAAGAGGAAGCCCCTGGATGCCAGGGCCGACATAGTATGGTTGCCGAGGGCGCAGTCAAGTTTGCATTGCACCTATACATAACTTATAAGTATCGCACATTCTATGGGAGTGAAACATACGTGATCTGGAACTTTCTAAAGGTACCAGCTGCGTAACTAGGGTTAAGCTTCTAGGGGGTAGCTGGGGGTTCACCAATTTTGTTGGAAAGGTGGGAGGGGGGGGCAAGGAAGGTAACGTATACATGTACATTTGTTGTGAGCAATTCAAGATTTCAAATGGAGTGGGGGTGGGGGAGGGGGGGGGAGACACGTGCCTCATAGTTACACCTTTGAAAGGTACACAGAAATATGCAATTTAAACATCATATCAGGTTTAACAGTCCCTTACATATTTACAATTAAAACTAGTTACGAACCAATAAAGATTTGAATGGTATCACCCCCATTTATTGCCTAATGTTGCAGTCCACTCTTTTCTGAATAAATTGAAATACAAAATGGTTTTGTAGGAATGAAGCCTTAACACTAGTCTGAGTATCGCCCATTGTATCACCCTCTCTGTCTCTGGTCAAACGTCTGATATATCTAAGCCTGCCAATGTATGCGACCCAGTGCGCCAGCCAATTGGAGTCGACATGACATCATTTCATTCTGAAATTCGGACGTAGCTGTTCATTGGTCAATTTTGATGCCACGTTTTTGTAATACAGCAACGGACACAAAGATCCAATAAAACCCAACATTGGGTTTTAAAACTGTTAACATGCACATGTGGGCATTCACATTAAGCGCGTTATTTCAAATATTATGTGATGATCATTCGAAGTCACAGAACGTTTTGACACAGGCTGTTTTTGTTAACACAATTTATAACATAAAAGTATAGTCGTGTTACTAGATGTACATGACAAAACCAAAGACCCGATATAGAAGGTACCCACTGATGAATGGTCAGAATCTCGAGGTCAAGATGCAGTCTTGTTTTGCATAATAATCACCAAATCTCTCTTGCTGTGCAAGGAGATATTACATAAACTACCTTAGCACCTATTAATCCTACAATTTAGAACAATTCACAATGCAGTGTGAGTGTGCCGACAGGTGTTTGCCTCAAGAGGCCACTTTCCAACTTAACAGTCTTTTGAAAAGTATACTAACTTCTACAAAATGAACTTACCTGTACATGGAAGTACATTGGGGAATCTGTTCTTGTTTTTGCAGACAGGTTTCTTGGCTTCCTCACAGTTGACTGCCACTGACATTTCATTTAGCACCTGAAGTTTAAAGTAAACAAATTGACAACACATGTTACAATACTTTTTCTCTTTCTAGCTCGGACTTCAATTACAATTAACAATTGTTGACTAATGTGATGTGCGAGCAGTGGTGTATCACGAGGGGAGGGGGAAGGGAGGGGAGGGGAGGGGATGGGGGCACCTTGTCCCCTGCCCCTAGCGGATTTTTTGAAAGATATTTTTTTAGTAACTATTTCCATAAATGGTTAGAGAGTTCTGACACGAAAAAAAAGAAACCAAGCTCAAAAATCATTACAATGAGCCATGAAAATCAGCATATATTTTCCAGTATGCATAATAATGGTCAGTTTTGAAGAGCGCCCCCATTTGGATAATGGGTACCAGCCCGCGCCCCCCCCCCTTTTTTTGATTTTACGAAGGCCAAGTGTTGGGGGATGTGTGAGTGCGGTTGCCCCCCAACATAAAAAGCTGGACACGCCACTGTGTGGGATATGACGTTTTTAACACCCAAGGGCTGCATTTGGCCTCGGGTGCTATGTACATGTATGGCCAACACATTACACACTGGGGCACAGGCTGCATTTTGCAGTCCATGTGCAGTACACGCATCACCCATAATGAACTCACTTTCGATGCGAGAAACCTTTAAAAGGATTATTTACATGTTTTTGTTTACTTTGCAAGGTTGACACCAAAAGAAACAATGCTTCTTTGGGAAAATCTGTTACTTTAAAAGCATTTTTGAAAAACTTCACAAATATCTCATATTGCGATCCCATATCAAATTTCTGAATTGTAATTATTCATGCAGTATAGACACTGTTAACAGTCTTCAAATAATCATGAACATTCCTTTAGAGATGTGAAAAGGAATATCACGTGTATAAGACACCATACATTATGCTGTATTTAGGTTTAAAGATTTTCAAATGGGACTGACAGGAATAACTAACTTGTATGTTCTGTACAGTGTCATGCATACATTTGCATACATTCCCTTTGCTACAGAAATTTCATCCAAATGTACAAACATGTACATGTAGGCCTACATGTACAGTTCAACATATTACATGTGTTAAATTCACGTTTCCGCTTCAGTGTAACACAGTGACTGGAACAGGCCCTAGGTAAATCTATTGTTACCAGAAACTGGGCCTTTGAAGTGGTTCAGAAAATAACAATACCTGTTGACTAGGCAATGCAAGTTCAACTGTGTGACCTGTGATCCACTGCAGTCTGGTGTATTTATAGAATTGGGAATTTACAGGCATTGAGCAATGCTACACCCTACAGGCATTCAAGTCAATCCAGAGAGTGAGAACCAGTCATCATTAGTTGCTGCAAAATAGTATTCCAGCAGTTTCTTCATCAAACTGCCAATTGATTGCAGAAATATCTTCTGACATCATTCAGGTATGTTTAGTTGATAATAAGCTTGACATTGCAACCACAATTGGCATAGGAATCTGTGCAGACATTTAACTACCAATTTGTACATCAGTTTCCTTCTCCGATGCAACATGAGCAGTACATGTATTAAACCAGTCTGAAGAAGTTCATGATGAAACTGAATGTGGAAAAATAAGTTTATCCACTTACAAACTATCAATGGATTAGTTCAATATTTTTTAGTTCATATATGTAAAGGTTAATGTTTGGTCAATTTTTGATTTTATTAATTCTCACCAAACGTGTGATATATTAATGGCAATGTTGAAACAAAATTAGAGTAACTAGAGCTATGCCTGTTATATGAACTAGCCTACGGCTAGGGATACTGTACAAAACTGTGCCTTGTGGAGGGCAATTCCAGAAGTTCGGATGGACATTTCAGAGAGTCAAATGAGCTTCTGTTGGTAGTGTGAATGTGAATCATTACTTATATGTGACAGCTAATGAAGAGAATTACAGGCCAAACAAATGTACTACAACCTTTTAGACCTTGTAAAATCATGTTATCGGACTTACAAAAGGGCTAAAATTTGTGGAATTGCCATATAGTGGATATTTTTTTAGTACATTGAGCTTGGATGCGACTTGGTTCAAGTTCCAACAAGTAAATCTTTATTGTTTCCACTTCACTTTTCCGTTCAAGAATAAAAAAATTAGTTGTAAACTTTTTCCCATAAGATGATTTTTTTGAGAAAAAATAAGTTGGAATTTCACTCAAGTTTGATTTTGATACAACCATTTCATCATTTGAAGTTACCATATATATAGTTCCAAAACATTTTAATTAATGTGCTCCATTTGTAGGTTAAAGGACTATCTCCCTCTATCACATCAACCCAACGGTCAAGATGGCATCTAATGTAACAGTTCAATCAGTGTTGGAGAAGATTAGTGTGGATCATCTGGAATGCTCCATCTGCACCAACCGTTTCAGGCAGCCCAAACTGCTGGACTGTTTGCATAGTTTTTGCCTGCAATGCCTCCACGAGCTCAGACAGAGCCAAGATCCTAGTGGTACAAAGCTGACATGTCCTCTGTGCAGACATGAAACCATGTTGAAAGGGTCTGGGGTTGCTGATCTCCCTAATAATTGTGCATTCAGTGCCCTGGTGGAGGAAGTTACAATGCAGGAAAAGCTACTGGAAGGTCAAGGGTCAGAGATCAAATGTCAAAACTGTAAAGAGGAGAATCAGGCAATTTCAAGATGCATGGATTGCGATCATTTCCTGTGTCAAGAATGTCAAAAGGCTCATGAACGTATGACTGTCATCAATTCGCACAAAATCTATACACTGGCTCAACTTCGATCAGGAGAGATTGTCTACAAGAGTAAACTCAGAGAAGAAATTCCAAAATGTGGCAAGCATCCAGATCAGAATCTCAATGTTTACTGCAACACATGTGAGCAAGTCATATGTCTCATGTGTACTGTTCTAGATCATGAAAAACCCAAACACTCTTGTATTGGCTTACCTGAGGCTTTTGAGAAATGTAAGAAAAAGGTAGAAGAACTTATTGCAAAAATTGGTAAAAGCAAAACAGAACTGAACAGTACCATAGAGAAGACTTGCATATCTCGCAAGAAACTTGACATCATGTTTGCAAACACCAAAAAGAAAATCTCAGAAAAAGCTGACCAAGAGGTTGCCAAGATCCGACAGGAGGAGCAGAAACTGTTAAAAGAGACTGCCAGGATTTACAAAGAGAGAGTCGTAACATTTGAAGCAGCTCAAGCCAATAACAGCAAAGAGGTGACACAGACAGAGCACAAGCTGGAAGAGGTGATACAACTCATGAATCAAGCAAGTTGCTATGAGATTCTTGAACTTCAGCAGAAGCTCTTGCATAACCTCAGTGAATTGACAGGGAAACAGCCACAACAAGTTCCTGACAAGTTGAGCTTCATGGACTATGAAGATGATGAGAGGTCACTTGGGAGACTCATTCTGGAAGAAGAGCCACAGGCTGCAGCTAAGCAATCACCAAGACCTGCAAGATCATGTGTGAAGGAGAAATGGGAACTGAAGACCGAAATCAAGAACTTGCAAGTTACAAATGCATTGATAGCAGATGTTGCAGCACTCTCTAGCAATAAAATAATTGTACTATTTAAAAATAAATATTCTGGACATGGTTGTGCACTATTTACAGCTTTAGTTTCCAATAGTCACCGGGAACGATTTCTTATCCCACAAAGGCTACAAATCAATGGCCTCATTAATGCTATAAGGTGTATCGCAGTGAGCAAGGATGACAAGCTCCTTGCTCTAGATGGTCGAGTAGTCAAGGTCTTCAACAAGCAAAATCAGCTCCTCCATCAGTTCACACCAGGTAGAGGGTCAGACAGCCAACCAACATGCCTTGCAGTGGATGACAGCAATCTGATAGCAGTGGGTTATGAAGACAAGAAGGAGATATCTCTACACAACCCAGATGGATCCCTCATCAGGAGACTGCCTGCTCCAATGATTGATGATTACCTGACAATGTACAATCATCGCCTTATCTACACAAGTCGGCCTAACAAACGGTTGGTATGTGTAGACTTCTATGGTGCCAGTGTATTCTCAGTTGACCTGACCAGCAACATGCAGGGGGGTTGGTACCCTGATGGTGTGTGCTGTGACAGTGATGGCAGCATCTATGTTGCTGTGTTCGGACTTCCCACAGGTGATATTCTGCATTACAGTCCTGATGGCAAGTACATTGGATGTGTGATCAAGGGATGTGATTATCCACGTGGCATCACATTCACATCAGGTGGTGATCTGGTAGTGGTTGCAAGACGGTCTGTACAGATTTATTACCGAGTGTAAGGACATATTAAACTGGGGCTATTCAGTGTATCCACCAACCACTTCCATCAGACATTGATCATTGTTGTCACTGACAAAGAACTTTCAAGTTCATTCCCTAACAACATTCTACAATACTGTATATTTGGTTTATTGCTAAGGTCTTTGGTCTTTGTATGTGTTGACTCTAATACTTTAACCACTTCCCCTTTGGAAAACCTTGGATGCAACATCCAGCCTACTTCCTATAATATCCTACATCTGGTGCTCCAATAATGAGAGGAAAAAAGACCCTTCACATTTTTTGCAAATAGGGCAGAGTGCACATTTTAAAAATATTACAAACAAGAGGCAAAGTATTACCACACAAGGGCAATTCAATTTTCTCAAATTCGTCTCAGCAAATGCAAAGTCAATGCATGATGTGCTTTCCAAGTATAAGATATAACCCTGCTTCTGTATGAAATGTAAGCGTTTCCTTAATTTTGGGTTTTCATTTTTCAATTATTCGGAAAATTGCCGAGTAAAAAAAAAAGCAACTTATTTTCGAATAAGAAAGAATTTGCACCTCTGTGCACAATGCAAAAGTAAATACTCAAAAGCAACTGGATGAAATATGTGTGATTTTGAACTAGGGATAGTTTAAAAGTAACTCATATGCAATCCCTTGGTTGTCTCTTTCACAGTGCTTTCTAAATGTCTCATCAAATTAATATTAGTTTTATTACATTTACAACCAAGTTGAAAATGAAAACCTTGTGCATTCTTACAATGCTACATGGATGTGGTTAGTGTACATTTGTAAATTGAAATCTTGTTGTTGCCTTTCTTAAATGTGAATTTATTGAATACTACAATATGATATGCATGTGGAATATTCTATAAATTTTGGGTCCACTTTTTCCTGTCCCAATACAATCTGGTGGCCCAATAATGAGAGCAAAGGAATGACCCTTCACATTGTTTGCAAATAGGGCAGAGTGCACATTTTAAAAATATTACCCACGAGAGGGAAAGTAGGCCTATTACCACAAGAGGCAATTCAATTTTCTCAGATTCGTCTCAGCAAATGCAAAGTCAATGCATGATGTGTTTCCAAGTATAAGATATAACCCTACTCCTGTATAACATGTAAACATTTCCTTACATTTTTTTATTTGATTTTTCAATTATTGGAAAAATTGTTGAGATTAAATGAATAAAACTCATTTTGGAATGAGAAGACTTTGCACTTACATGTACATGAGAAAAAAGTAAATACTCAAAAGCAATTGGACAAAATATGTGTGATTTTGAACTAAAGCGATAGTTGAAAAGTAAACCATATGCAATCCCTTGGTTGTATCTTTCACAGTGCTTTCTGAGTGCCTCATCAAATTAATATTAGTTTCATTACATTTACAACCAAGTTGAAAATGAAAACCTTGTGCATTCTATTGCAATGATACATGAATGTTTGTACATGTGGTTAGTATGATGGATGTACATTTTAAAACTGAAAATCTTGTTTGTTTGCCTATTTATTGTGATTTTTTTTAAATACTACAATAGAAAATGCATTGGAACATTCTATGAATTTGGGGTTCACTTTTTCCTGTCCCTATACGTCAAGCATCTACGATTTTGTAAAAGAAGATGCACTCCTTTATGTGTGTACTCTTCCTCCAAGAATGCTTTTGTGAATCAAATGACCTACCCAACAAATATTAATTAGTTTGAAGTAATTTTAATGCCACTTTAATGGCAAATTATAAATTTCGGAGCTTACAGGGACAGGAAAAATGTCACACTTTGGACCCTAAATGTATAGAATGACCTACTTGTGAGAGGTTCCGTATCATTACAATAATAGTTTAGTTTATGCCATAAATGATAGAGGCTTTTGCTTCTTTGAATAAGTATTGGTTTGCTACATGCTGATAGACCAAGTAGTCTAAATGAAGCAGTAAGCATTTGCTTTAATTACAGAATATCTCTCCAAGAGAACGCAGCTTCCATGACAACAATGGCACTTCAGCCAAGATCCAAAGTCTGTTATTTTACCAATCAGCATCTCACATACATTTCAGCTACATTTACCACTGGGCAATTGTGTGACTCCTAGGGTTATTTGCATACATAATGAGGGCTGCCTATTTTACACCGATGATGCAACTCAAAAAGATATCTTTGTATTTTATCATTTATAGACCACTTAATTTGGAAGCCGTTGTTATTGTATCACTAGTTAGTTCATTCACTGTATATTTTGTCGAAATTTTTAAAAACGTTTTCTGAGAACATAGCTCAACAGTGATTTCATGAAACAACCATCTTTTCTCAGATGTTGTTTGCTTACATTTAGGGCCATTTTGTCTTCGACAAAAACATAATTTCAGAGGTTTCCCCAACATTTATACTTGTACATATTGGTAGAGGGGATTATCAAGTAATCAGATTTGTGAACACATTTTCTCTTGATTTTTTTATCTCCTGATTGATTGCTTTATGCTCTCAAAATATATTGAGTATGAAACTATGATCTTAGAAAACTAGTCAGGTTTGTTGATACCTAGTACCACGTATCGCAAGCAAAAAAGAAACCCACTAAAAAATACTGTTTAGTCGGCTTTTAAACAGTGCTCATTTTCATCAAAACAAAAAAATGTAGCCAAAAGAAATCTATTGAATGTTAAAGATTGCCTCGTGGGGTTTCACGTTAAGTATTTTATTGCCAGTGAAAACTTCAAATGTCATGAAAAAGCCAAACTCAGAATTTTTTCGGTACCTTAGCAACCGCTTGTGACAAGGGAAAAACCACCACTTGGAATTTTTTGCCCGAAATGAATTGCTAACAATAGCATTTGTAGGGCATGCTAAATACAAACAAAATGTTTAAAGTAAATATTTCTTTACATTACCAATGTAAAATAGTTAACAAGACACCTGACATCTAACAAGAGGAAGCCCCTGGATGCCAGGGCCGACATAGTATGGTTGCTGAGGGCGCAGTCAAGTTCCCGCTGCAACTATAGATAAATCATAAATATCACACACTCTATGGGAGTGAAACGTACGTGATCTGGAACTTTCTAAAGGTACCAGCAGCGATACTAGGGTTAAGCTTCTAGGGGGCAGCTGGGGGTTCTTTTTTGGGGGGGGGGGGGGGGTAGGGGGGCACTTAAGGTAACATATACATTTGTTTGTGCAATTAAACATTTCAAGGGGGGGGGGGACACATGCCCAATAGTTACGCCAATGAAAGGTACACAGAAAATAGAAATCTAATATCATACCAGGTGTAACAGTCACTTACATAGTTACAATTAACACTAGTTATGAACAAAACAAAAAGATTTGAATGGTTTGAACAGTCTTTAATTGCCTAATATTGCAGTCCACTCTTTTTCGAATGAAATGAAATACAAATTGGTTTTGTAGGAATGAAGCCTTAACACTAGTCTGAGTATCACCCGTTGTATCACCCTCTCTGTCTCTGGCCCAATGTCTGATATATCTAAGCATGCAAATTTATGCGACCCCACGTGCCAGTTAATCGGAGTCGACATGACGTCTTTTCATTCCGAAATCTGGACTAAGCTGTTGATTCGGCAATTTTGATGCCATGGAAAAACGGATAAATATTACAGACTACCTCAGCACCCATCCCCCCACCTACAATTAAGAACAATTCACAATGCAGTGTGAGTCTGCCAACAAGTGTTTGCCTCAAGAGGCCACTTTTCAACTTAACAGTCTATTTAAAAGTTAAGTAATTTCTATAAATGAACTTACCTGTACATGGAAGTACATTAGGGAATCTGTTCTTGTTTTTGCAGACAGGTTTCTTGGCTTCCTCACAGTTGACTGCCACTGACATTTCATATAGCACCTACATTTCAAAGTGAACAAATTGACAGACAACCCACATTACATTGCTTTTTTTCTCTCTAGCTCGGACTTCAATTACGAATCAAGTTATCTTTGGCTGACTTAACCTTTGCATATTCATTCTTCAGCTAGTAAAATGGACAACATAGCCATACACCATTATGGTAGCAATATACATTGTAGAACCGAGTCTGTGACTCGGACTTGAGTTTGACTTGCGCTGCAAAGTTACAATGGATGATGACTCAACTCAGCTCTCATGACTCAACTCATGACTCAGACTTGACATCGGGGACATGTCACTGGTGAGTCACATTTCACTGACTCAACGAAACATGTTTGGCAAAACTGTCTGGTAATAAATTAAGCTATTGCTGATGGAGTGCAAAATTTGGTTTGTTCCAAACCACCCCTTCACGAAATGTTTGAACTCAACTCGCTGTGCCGCGCTCTTGGAAACAATACGCGCAACGCTCAATGCGCACACCAGCATGCATTTGCACACAAATACCGCGCCGTGGATATAGTACTTTGGTTGCTAATGGTATAGTACTTTGGTTGCTACGGGTATAGTATTTTAGAGATAGCAAAAAATAGGAAGTACCGTGTGACCCGCTCTCGGCCAATTAAGTTACAGAATCTGTGGGTGAGGTGTTATCAAAAGAAATATCCAAATGAAAATAGCCCGACAAGCCTTAATATACGAGCAGTAATCTGATTTGAAGGCTCCTTGCCCTGGGCATTTAAGAAAATTTGATATTTTGTTTTCCTGACAAATTCCAATTTTGTCTATTGTATTCTTACTCCCACACTGCCCCCCCCCCCCAAAAAAAAACACCTTTTATTTTGCATCTGTAACCCTCCTAAGAAAAGTTTTACTTTGGATTACTTTGGTAGCTCTCATAATAGAAAAATAAAATATACATTCTTCGATCCTCTCATGAACCCGAATCCCCATTGGGCGACAAATAATTGAAAAATATAATATATAATTAATAACAAAATGAGCCAAGCTTTATTCAAAAGTGAACAAAAAAAAATGCTGTACATTTTTTTTCAGGCTGAAATATGAAAATCACCAGGGCTGTTTAGTCCCAAAATAGCATTGGTGACGTCTGATTCCATTTTTGTGGGCTGGGGTACCAGGGTCATGGAAACACTGACTGCCATTTATGCACAGGAACCTGCATCGGATGTGAGCAGAGAGTACCCGGTACAGTACATGTACATTGTATATACACGGACTCCTATAGCTTCTAAAAATAGAACTAGGAATTTACGCACTGTGTGTAATGATAGTTCAACATTCATGTTCATGTACAGTGTATTGCATTCACATCAAACGTTGTAAATTGCCTACGTTGTGCGCCACTTCCAGAAGGATAGTTTCAAATTTTCCTTTTAAACCAACAAAAAGACTTCAATTCAGGTAAGATACTTCACATTGTACCGTTGTTGTACTCATATTACATGGCATTTGTCAAGAATCTTGGAATAATTGCCAGTACCAATATGTGCAGCATTGGTCCTACAAGAGGGAGTAGTCAATGCTCAAATACAATACTCTTGACAAAAATGTCCCTGTTTAGTCTACTGGCTTGAGAGGACTAAACATATCCTTGATCCTACATTTGAACCTCAAATAAAAGTTGAACAAAGTACTTGATCAAGTGGGGTTTGAACCTATAACCTGCAGATTACTTGTATAACACTCAACTGAGCTATTCCGGACCAGCCCTATGGTGGCGGTTCCCCAGTTTGAAATTGTCTTTGTTCAAGGGGCACTAGACAGAAGCTGTGAATGTGTTTATGCCATGCAGCTGGGGAGCATGCCCAAAGTCACGTTAGCACTGCTTTTTTGTGTTTTTCTTATCTGTTTCTTCCCCTATAAATGCTTTATCATGATTTTCCTCAATGCTATATTGTATCTTGGGGGAGGGATCAGGCCATGCACCTCAGTCAGCCCGCGCTCCCTTAATGCAACACAAGATTGGGGGTGGGGGGATTAAAAACTACAATTAGTTTCCCCTCCAGAGAGTGGGACTGCCCAAAAGCCTCCCTGTACATTGGAGCTCATCATGTCAATGCTTTGAATTAATAAAATATAAGCCTAAGCAAAAAGCATTTCACATCATTTTTTTTCTAATACAGTAGTAACTAAGAGTAGCTCAATATATTTTTTGTTGTTGGGGGGGGGGGGGTTTAAAGAGAGGGGCCGTCCAATTGCAAGTGCCTCTCTGCACATTGGAGTTATGTCAATCAACTGAATTAATTACACATTACAATTCATCACCGTTTGCATGAAGAGCCACAGATGTCAAAAATTACAATTTTTTCGATTTTCATTTTTTTTCACTAGTTTGTTTTAAAACATTGTACTTAACCAATGTGACATGTTTGTATAAGCAAAACATCATTAATTTCCAAGTTACATTAATGTTGCAAGGGGCAGAACTTAATAAATGCATTTTGCATTTTCATGAAGAGCCAAATTTTGGCCCCTTGAATGCGTACAAAACCTATTGCACTGATAGGTATAAAGATGGGTTAACTGAGACTTTCATTTTCACAAAGAGCCACACATCTTCACTAATTAATTTTCACTAATTAACAACTGTTTTACAAACTGAGTTCACATAAAAATTAAGCTTTCATAGAATCATATGTTGTATTTTGTGATTATCTCGAAAACACACTGTCTTGGCTCGATATTCGTGAACACGGTGATGAATTGATACCCATGAACTAAGGAAACAGAACATGTTGACAATGTTGCAGATGATTAATATAATCATTTTATATATTGAAGTCAACCTTTGACACTTTTATCCATTCTTAGGTTCAACTCAAAACTTGATTTTCAAGAAGTCAACATGGCATCTAGTGTTACAGCTCAATCAGTGTTGGAGAAGATTAGTGTGGATCATCTGGAATGCTTCATCTGCACCAACCGTTTCAGGCAGCCCAAACTGCTGGACTGTTTGCATAGGTTTTGCCTGCAATGCCTCCACGATCTGAGACAGAGCCAAGATTCTAGTGGTACTGGTACAAAGCTGACATGTCCTTTGTGCAGACGTGCAACCATGTTGAAAGGGTCTGGGATTGCTGATCTCCCTAATAACTTTGCCTTCAGTGCCATGGTGGAGGAAGTTACAATGCAGGAAAAGCTACTGGAAGGTCAAGGGTCAGACATCAAATGTCAAGCCTGTGATGAGGAGAATCAGGCTATTTCAAGATGCATGGACTGTGATCATTTCCTCTGTCAAGAATGTCAAAAGGCACATGGACGAATGACTGCCATGAAATCTCACAAAATCTACACACTGGCTCAACTTCGTTCAGGAGAGATTGTCTACAAGAGTAAACTTAGAGAAGAAGTTCCCAAATGTGACGAGCATCCAGATCAGAATCTCAATGTCTACTGCAACTCATGTGAGCAAGTCATATGTACAACATGCTCTGTACTTGATCATGAAAAACACTCACTCACTGGATTACCTGAGGCAGTAGAGAAATGTAAGAAGAAGGTCACAGAAATGGTCCAAAACAGTGAGAGAAGAAAAACAGAATTGAGCACCACCATAGAAGAGATGTTAAAATCTCGCAAGGATCTGGACACCATGTTTGCCAACACTCAAAAGAAAATCTCAAAAAAGGCTCAACAGGAGATTACAAAGCTCAAACAGGAGGTTGCAAAGATCAAAAAGGAAGAACAGAAATTGTTGAAAGAGACAAACACGATTTATGAAGACAAACTCAAAGCTTTTGAAGCTGTTCAAGCAACCAACAGGAAAGAGGTAACACAGACAGAGCACAAGCTGGAGGAGGTGAACCAACTCATGAATCAAGCAAGTTGCTATGAGATTCTTGAACTTCAGCAGAAGCTCTTGCATAACCTCAGTGAATTGACAGGGAAACAGCCACAGCAAGTTCCTGACAAGTTGACCTTCATGGATTTTGAAGAAGGTGACAGGTCACTTGGGAGACTCATTCTGGAGGAAGAACCAAAGGCTGCAGAAAAGCCAACGCCAAGACCTCCAAGATCATGTGTGAAGGAGAAATGGGAACTGAAGAGTGAAGCCACTAACATTGGAGTAACACAAACATATATATCACATGTTGCAGCACTCTCTAACAATAAAATACTT